CTCTATATATAAGCTGGAGTCACGTAGCGCCGCACGTCACATGAGCTCTTATTAGTGTAGGGAGAGGATGCTGCAGCTTTCAGGGACAGATTAGGAAAGAATTCTACAAACTAGTACATTAGTGGGGTGCACTTCATATCTGAGAGTCAAATAGAAGCGTCAAATACTGCGGTTACAGCGCAATTGTAAACATTATTATTTTCTGGGTGCTAATCTGCTAAATAGTAAATTTGGGCCCTGCACTTCATATCTGAGAGTCAAATAGAAGTGTCAAATACTGCGGTTACAGCGCAATTGTAAACATTCTTATTTTCTGGGTGCTAATCTGCTAAATAGTAAATTCGGGGCGTGCTCTTCATATCTGAGAGTCAAATAGAAGCGTCAAATACTGCGGTTACAGCACAATTGTAAACATTCTTATTTTCTGTGTGCTAATCTACTAAATAGTCAATTTGCGCCCTTATTTTATATCTGAGAGTAATATAGAAGCTTTAAATACTGCGGTTACAGCGCAGTTGTAAAAATTCTAATTGTTTTGGTACTAACTGCTAAATAGTAAATTTGGGACGTGCGCTTCAAATCTGAGCGTCAAATAAAAGTGTTAAATAGTGCGATTACAGCGCAATTATAAACATTCTTATTTTCTGGGTGCTAATCTGCTAAATAGTACATTTGGTGTGTGCACTTCATATCTGAGAGTCAAATAGAACCGTCAAATACTGCTGTGATAGCAGTTTTAAAAATTTTAAAAATTAAAAAGTCAATTTGGTCACTGCACTTCATATCTGAGAGTCAAATAGAACCGTCAAATACTGTGGTTACATCGCACTTTACATTCTAATTTTTTTGTGCTAAATAGTACATTTGCGGCCTGCGGTGCATTTCTTGCAGTCCAACAAACTAAAAAAAAATAAAAAAATTGTTGACTATTGGCGATTACATTGTCGCCTGACATAAAACATCTGTTAGTTTGGTGTGTGAACGCAAAGAACGAGGAGAGCATCAAATAAGGGACGTGGGCCTGGCCATGGTGCTGCTGGTGTTGGTGGAGCTCCTGTTGCAAGGAGAGAACGTGGTTGATTTGTGCCAGCTACACTCACAAGTGAAACACCTTCCTCATGTGCGAGTATGTGACAGAACCTTCAGCGTTATTTGGTAGGCCCGAATGCCGCTCTACGAATGGTGAGGCCAGAACAAATACAAGCGATAGTAGATTGGATGGTTGACAGTGCCTCCAGTTCCTGCACATTGTCTCCCACCCGGTCCCCTGCTGAAAACTCAGAGTTGGCACCTGCAGCCCATGGCCATCTGTCTTTCACCTCACCCCCTTGCAAATCACCCAAGCAGTCTGAGCAACAAGTCATGCTTTTTGATGACTCTGCTGGTGGGGTTTCCGAGGGCCATCCACCTAGCCCTGCCCAAGAAGTGGAAGAGATTGAGTGCACTGATGCACAACCACTTATGTGTCAGGATGTGGACATGCAAGGACCACCACAGCATGTCTCTGATGATGACGAGACACAGGTGCCAACTGCTGTGGCTTTCGGCAGTGTGCAGACCATCAAGGAGGGCAGGGTTGAGGAGTGGGTGGAAGATGATGTGTAGGATGATGAGGTCCTAGACCCCACATGGAATGAAGGTCATGCAAGTGACGTGTCCAGTTTGGAGGAAGAGGCGGTTGTCGCACAGAGGCACCAGCACAGCATAAGAGGGAGTAGGGTGCAAAAGCGGAGCAGCTGTCCCCTAGACGGTACGCCTTCCTCCTCCTCTACCACCACCTCATCCAGGCAGCGTAACACCTTCACCACCAACTTCAGCACAGCCAGGGGGAAATGACAGCAGGCTGTTTTAAAACTCATATGTTTGGGGGAAAAACCCCACACCACGCAGGAGCTGTGGATGGGCATGCAACAACAGACTGATGAGTGGTTGTTGCCACTGAGCCTCAAGCCCGGCCTGGTGGTGCGCGATAATGGGCAAAATCTCGTAGCAGCTCTGGGCCTAGCCGGTTTGCCGCACATCCCTTGCCTGGTGCATGTGCTGAATTTGGTGGTGCAGAAATTCCTGAAAAACTACCCAGATATATCAGAGCTGCTGCAGAAAGTGCGGGCCGTCTGTGCGCGCTTTTGGCATTCTCACTCTGCTGCTGCTCACCTGTCTGTGCTGCAGCGTAACTTCGGCCTTCCCGCTCACCGCCTCTTATATTAGATGTGCCCACAAGGTGGAACTCCACCTTGCACATGCTGGAGAGACTGTGCGAGCAGCAGTAGACGATAGTGGAGTTTCAAATGCAGCACGCACGGGTCAGTCGCTCTGCTGAACAGCCCCAATTCACCACCAATGAGTGGGTCTCCATGCGAGACCTGTGTGCCATTTTGCACTGTTTCGAGTACTCCACCACCATGGCCAGTGCAGATGACACCGTTCTTAGCCTTACTATCCCGCTTCTATGTCTCCTTGAAAAAACACTTTGGGCGATGATGGAAGAGGATGTGGCACAGGAGGAATAGGAGGAGGAAGAGGGGTCATTTCCACGGTTATCAGGCCAGTGATTCACAAGTGGCTTGGAAGGTGGGTTCCTGCACCAGCATAGGCCAGGTACACAGTTGTCCAGCCAGGGCACAGTTCTGGAGGATGAGGAGGAGGATGATGAGGATGAGGAGGAGGAACCGTGTTCACAACAGGGTGACACCCAACGCAGCTTGTGGCTGAGGGGATATGGAGGACACAGACGATACACCTCCCACAGAGGACAGCTTGTCCTTGCCTCTGGGCAGCCTGGCACACATGAGCGACTACATGCTACAGTGCCTGTGCAGTGACTGCTGAGTTGCCCACATTCTAACTTGTGCTGATTACTGGGTGGCCACCCTGCTGGATCCCTGTTACAAGACCAACGTGCCGTCCTTAATTCCCTCACTGATGCATGATCGGAAGATGAGCAACTACCAGCGCACGCTGGTAGATGTGCTGCTGAGGGCATTCCCAACTGACACCGGGGGCTCAGTGGAAGCACAAGGCGACGGCAGATGTGGAGGAAGAGGTCGCAACGCAGCTGGGGCACCGCCAGCACCTCAGAAGGCATGGTTAGCATGGCCGAAATGTGGAAAAGCTTTGTCAGCACGCCACAACAACCAGCACCACCATCTAATATGGAACGTCTTAGCAGGAGGCAGCATTTCAGCAACATGGTGGAACAGTACGTGTGCACATGGTGGAACAGTACGTGTGCACATGCCTACACGTACTGACTGATGGGTCTGCCCCATTCAACTTCTGGGTCTCCAAAATGGGCACATGGCCTAAGCTTGCCCTTTATGCCTTGGAGGTGCTGGCCTGCCCTGCAGCGAGTATATTGTTTAGCACGGCAGGGGGCATTATCACAGACAAGCACAGCCGCCTGTCTACAGCCAATGTGGACAAGCTCACGTTTATTAAAATGAACCAGGCATGGATCCCACGAGACTTGTCTGTAACTTGTGCAGAATAGACATTTATACCAGCCTCACCCAGCCATTGTTATACTCAAGTGCACTTATTCTTTGTTTTCTTTTTTTATATGTCCCAATATTTTGGGGGCTACCCCAATAAAAAAACAAACAAACCCCTCCCCCCCAAAAAAATAAACAAATAATTAAAAAACAGTTTTGGCTACCTCTTCCTCTTCTTCCATCACCGCTTCCACCTACACCGCCATGGTGTATACCCAGATATAACAGAGCTGCTGCAGAAAGTGCGGGCCGTCTGTGCGCCCTTTTGGCGTTCTCACCCTGCTGCTGCTCACCTGTCTGCGCTGCAGTGTAACTTCGTCCTTCCCGCTCACCGCCTCATGAGACTGTGCGAGCAGCAGCAGGCAATAGTGGAGTTTCAGCTGTAGCACGCATGTGTCAGACGCTCTGCGGAACATAGTTTTCTTTTTGTACATGTCCCAATATTTTGGGGGCTACCTCAATTAAAAAAAAAATAAACAAAACAAACAAATAAAAAACAGTGTTGGCTACCTCCTCCTCCACCGCCGCTACCGCCTACACCGCCACGGTCACCGCCTCCTCAACCTATGGGTCACTTAGTATAAACTTATGTTATTTTCAGTGATTTCCCTATCCTCGTTTGTTTGCAGGACACTTGTCCTACTCTTTCCGCCATTTTACTTCCTTTTGCAGCCCTCAGGCCCTTTCCAGGACTTTTTTAGAGGCATTTTAGTGCCCAAAAGTTCAATGGAGTTCGGGTTCGGGGTCAAGTTCGATCCCGAACCTGGACTTTTTTTCAAAGTTTGGCCGAATCAGCCGGACCCGAACATCCTGGTGTCCGCTCATTTCTACTCTAAGCCCACTACGTTATGTAGCATTCCATGTGCAATACTATAATGTGATATGCTACAAATGTCTACTTAGTTGTAAGTTCTTGTAAGGTGCCACTGTAGCCAATGTCCATTTCCAAGTGGAATTTCAATCCTGGAATTTCAAATAGGAAAGTTTCATCTTTGTCATTAAGCATCCAAAATATGTGTATGTATAGGCTTGATTTTGTTCTGCAATTATAGATAAATTAACAACAATATGCAGAGAGAAATATACACCACAAAAACAAGTATTTCACAATTTCAAAAGTCATTTCTACCAGCCCATTTGTCTGAATCATCGTTCATTACCTTTAAAGTGCTTAGCTTTTGTCCCAGAATATTACTTGAAACTGTGTTAGCTCATTGTGAGAACCCAGAGTGATGACTTTATGTTTGATCTACACAATTTTAGATTCCATTCCAGAACTAAACTTAAAATGCTATATTGTAATAAATGCCTTGAACTCAATATATATCTTTTGGTGAGATCTGGCTATGAAGAATCATGCTGTCTTGTTTAGAGTTTGAATGTGAGCAATAGATGTATAATATATAGGAGATATAACAAACTGATATTATACAGGATATAAAATGGAAAAAAAAGAAATATCCTGGCACATCTGACGTTTCTTCTAAAAGGCAGCCTTTATTTGAAACAAGGAAGTGGAGACAATGTTTCGGCTCCTCTCTGAGCCTTTATCAAGTCTGATAAACTTAACTTGATGGAATTGATAGAGGCTCAGAGGGGAGCTGAAATGTTGTCTCCACTTCCTTGTTTCAAATACAAACTGCCTCTTAGAAGAAACCTCAGGTGTGCCTGGATATTTCTTTTTTTCCAATTGATGTCTCCAGGGATTGGCCCTCCCTCTCTGGAGCACCACTAATGTTTTAGCACCACTAATGTTACTTTTTTAGATGTAGATATTTTTATTAAGGAGAATAAAATCCATACAAAAACACATTTTAAGAACGTTTATGTCAATAACTTTATAGGAACTGACAGTTGTCATTATAAAAGTTGGCTGGATAGCACACCGAAAAATCAACTGCTTAGACTAGGAGAAATTGCTCAGAAATCAACATATTTAATACTCAAGCAATCAATAAAATTATAGATATAACAAAACAAACCTATAGAAATAGCCTAATAAAAAAGAAGGGTTTTGGCAATAAAAACAACATCAAAAATAAAAAATATTTTACCTTACCCATAAAAGTGAACTACAATAATAAAAATAAACAGAATAAAAAGATCATTTAAAAAATCTGGCATCTATTACAGGAAGATGAACTATTAAAAAATTTGATTCCAGACAATCCGAGAATAAATTTTATAGGGGGCTTCTAATTTAAAAATGCACCTTATAAGAAATTATACACAAAGAATTAATTCTAGCACCAAAACCAATTTCTTATGCTGGGGGGGGGCGGTTAATATCCTATCGTGTTACCACGGAATGGTCGTGTCTCCCTACAGCCATGGGTCCCATATTTTGTGGAATTTTTTGGGCGAGTCAGGTATTTGTGCTGTGAGCCTATCCATTTGCATGCCATCTATTATCTTCTTGGTAATTGTTTCTTGTGTCGGTATGCGGTTTGTTGACCAGACTTCTGCTATGGCTCTACATGTTGCTAGGGCTATGCGGGCGGATAGCTTATTTTCAGCTCTAGTGTATTGGTCTATTGGCTTGGAGAGTAGGAGCATCCAAGGGTCTAAGGGACAAGGTTTGTCTATTAGTTTGGAGATTAGGCGTGTGGTGTCTTGCCAAAGTGGTTGGAGTTTCGGGCACGTCCACCAACAGTGGAGGAACGTTCCCGTCTCTCCTCATTGTTTCCAGCAGGTGTTGGCTGGTATTTGGTGCATGATGGCCAGGCGTTGGGGGGTGAGGTACCAACGGAATAGCATTTTGTAGGCTTGCTCAGTGTGCGTGACACATATGGAGATGGAGGCCGTTGCCTCCCAGATGTCTGACCAATCTGTTGTTACGTCTGGGGGTCCGAGGTCTGCCTCCCATGCCGCTATGTATGGGAGAGACAGTTGTGTGTGGTGGGTTGCCAAGGTTGCATATATGTCGGAGATTTGTCCTTGTCTGTTGGGGTGCGCAATGCAGTCTCTTTCAAATCGATTGAGTTGAGCCGTGCCGGCTTGTTTTATGATTGGAGTCGCTGCAAAGCTGCGCAATTGTATGAATCTAAAGTGATCGAATGATGTGAGTGAGGATGAGTCTTTGATATCTGAGAATTTTATAATGTCGTCGTCTTGGTACAAATGCCCTAGACGGGAAATGTCCCTGTGTTCAAAGTGGGCGAAGTGCTTGGGGATAAGTCCCGGTGGGAACAGCTTGTTCCTCCATATGGGGGTCATAGGAGATAGGAACGATGACAGTTCAAATTTGTCCCTCATTTTGTCCCATGTATCAAGTGCATGGGTGATTGAGGGTGCGGTGGGAGGGGGTAGGGGTCTATGTGGTTTGGGTACCCACATGTACAGGGACGGGTGGTCCCGACTGAAGATGTTGTGTTCCAAGTCCACCCATCTTTTTTCCCCTGGTGGGACGTGCCAGTGTTGTATCTGCGTTAGGTGTGCTGCCGTGTGGTAGTGTGTGAAGTGTGGTAGTCCTAGTCCCCCATGTTTCTTGGGTACGTATAGTGTGTTTCGGCGTACTCTGGGTTTGTGTCCATTCCAGATGAATGTGTCCATGGCTGTTTGTAGTGCCTTAAAGTCTTGTTTATGGATCGGTATGGGGAGGGTTTGAAATAGGTATAACAATCTGGGTAACGACAGGGAACTTAAATAAGCGTTCAAGGAAGATACAATGTTAATACAATGTTGATACGAATGTAAGCTATTTCCAATATGCAACAGTACCCTGCGTTGGTACTGACATTAAATTTGAAAGTACTATTAAGTCTTGAACCACCCCCACCCACCCCTCCTTTTATTTTCTGTACCCCATTCCCCTCCCTCCTAATTTCATGGAGAAAAACCTACAAATAAAGAATTTAAAAAAAACAAAAAACAACCAAGGCTTTTTTAAGAGCAATTGTTGCGCTGCATGCAGAAAGACAGAAAAAACAGACAGATGTATAACCACTTTTAAATCAGATAAGACTAATAAGATATACAACATAAAAAATACAATTACCTGTAATAACAAGAATGTTATATACCTGTTGGTGTTCCCTTGGGGCCTCCAGTAGGTAGGAAGGACAATAATGCCTCGTTTCCACTGAGCGGAACGGTTCGGGTCGGTACAGTTTGGAAGGGTTAGAATGGTCCAGCCTATTCAGCATTTCCACTGCAAGTCAGACTGCCAGGGGCCATGCAGGGTTTAGACTAAATGCCTAGCGTGTCATAGCGTGTCATTTGTCGTGAGCATTGACGTTTTACTGTCCGCCAATCAATGGATTGTATAGTGTGACGGTAATAGCTCTGCCCTAACCGTACGGTACCATTTCCTATGGCCCTACATCTGAAGGAGGACCAGGAATGTTGTGGTTCGGTTGTATGGGCCACTTTCATAATGGAAATAATCAAAATAGTGTTCTGCTCAGTGGAAACGAGGCATTAGACCTCTCAAAATTAGAATCTAGCGAGCATCGCAGCAACATAGAGAATGGCTTTAAAAATCACCTTGTCTTGTCACATTTCAGTGTAAATAATAAAAAAAAATTAAATTCATGGGCATTTCAATCCTTACCAAACACTGGAGAGTTGGAGACATGGTTAAAAAACTTGGAAAAGCATAGATGGAGTGGGTGTATTATTTAGATACTTTACACCATAATGGCCTCAATGCTGATTTCGACCTTTTTAATTTTTTATAGTATACTTTTTATAGCGTCTATTTTTACTTAATAGCCTTTTTTCTTACATTATAAGTCCCTCCACTTTTTATAAATTATGGTATTCTCAGTATTTTTTCTAGCTGTATAATTTTAACCATGTCTCAATCCACTCTGGAATTGAAATATATCTGTTACCTTATGCAATTCAATATATGATCCATAAAGTTAGTTCACGTTATAATCTTTTAATCTCACTGAATTTAAATATTCTAGTAAGTATACGCTTTTAAATATATGTTTTTTTCACAAAAAAACTCTCTAAATATAAATATTGCTATGCACTTTAATTATTACGGTACATGTATGGGTAAAAATAGTTTATTCACACAATTACTATGAAGCTGGCCATGTTGTGATGCATATGTTAAAAATATATTCCTTTTTACTCAATTTAAGTATTTTAACCAATATATGATTTTAAATATATGTTTCTCCTCACAAAATACATACAAATGTCGCTATGCATTATAAGTACATTATCTGTATGAAGAATACTAATTTCGTCCTCTTCTTTATCCCATTCTTAACATACAAACTTTTATTATGTTGCCCACGACCAAAATGGGCGATGAGAACTTTTATTATGTTTCCCTCAACCAAAATGGCAGATGAAAACTTTTATCATGTTGCCCTCAACCAAAATGGCTGATGAGAACTTTTATCATGTTTCCCTCAACCAAAATGGCAGACGAGAACTTTTCCGGCCATATTATTAGACATTCAGAGAAAGTGAAAAAGGACTACACATCCCACAATGCAAGTCAGTCGCAGCACATCACTTCCGGGTGACACATGTGACCCAAAGAACCAGAAAGTAAATCAACACACCCAATTCTACTAATTGGAGATGAACTCCCAATATAAACTTGGACATTCTGAGGATCATCCACACTTCTGAGGAAGCCCTGCAGGAAGAAACACATAAAGTGTGACATTAGAGAAGTTCTTTATATCTATATGTTTTATTCTTGTATTTCATTTACTTGTACTTTTGCTTTTAACTACTATATATAAATAAAATGTATTGTCTTCAACATCATATCCAATTTGTTGTTTTGCTGCTGAACAACTATCCTGGTTCCACCAAGGCTTTATACCACCAGAGCAAGTTTATTGCTCTCCAAAGTGTATGTAGGATACTTTGCTTTTGTGCACCTTACATATTTTAACATGTTGCACTATTAGACCCTCTCTGCTTTATTTTATATGCTGGAGTCATACTGGACACATACAATTGTGTATTTACATATATTTCAAGATAGGGATTGTACCTTCAAAGCGCTAAACAGCAGAAACAGCAGAGATCTCAGTAGCTCAGAAAAGTGTGAGTGAGACACCTATATACTTAACTGTCTGTAAAACCATTTAAGACATATTACACTATTTTTTTGTTGTATTCCTGTTTTGTTTTGAGGTTTTCTTGGTACCGAAATACAAAATCACTTTACTCCAGAGAGAGTAAGTATATACATAATTTATTACATATTATTGGGTTATTGTTAAGATTGAGTATACCCGTGTGATTTGTTTTCAGTTCAGTTTGGCGTGGTTTTTCACCAATTGTTTTGTCACATTTCTGTATCTTATGTAAATCTTTATAGATTTACTGCTGCCTGTTCACATTACAGCGAGTACCTACACCTGCCTCTTTTTCTGTACATTTAACTTGTTTATATTTTGATTTTTCAGATTAGGATATTCTGCAGATACTTTATTCATATTTTGAATTAAAATAAATAACTTTTCCAAGTGCCACAGAAAAGTGCACATATTTAAATTGTATCGATACTAATAAATAATCAGTTTGACTGCAAATAAATGAGCAAAATATACATAAACATAACATAATATTTTGTTTGTGCATAGAATGTATTAAACACTGATTTCAATAAAAATATTAAGCATATTAACATCATCTATGTA